CAACTGAAGTTACCTGGACAGGGCAGACCCCTGATTCTAAGCTCTTAACCCCCAACCCACCGCCACCTTTCCCCTCAATTGGTGCCTCCAGGAAGCCATCATGGACGGTTACGGAGATCGCAGTGTCCCCTCGGTCGCTGCATTCGGAACTCATGTGCCCCATCTGCCTGGACATGCTGAAGAACACAATGACCACCAAGGAGTGCCTCCACCGCTTCTGCTCCGACTGCATTGTCACGGCCCTGCGGAGCGGGTAATGGGAGGGACGCGTTGGAGATGGGGTTCCAGGTGCAGAGCTGAGGCCTCCGTGCCCTGGCGACTGAGTGCTCAGGGCCTCCTCTCTCCCGCCCCAGGAACAAGGAGTGCCCTACCTGCCGCAAGAAGCTGGTGTCCAAGCGGTCTTTGCGACCAGACCCCAATTTTGATGCCCTGATCTCGAAGATCTACCCCAGCCGGGAGGAATACGAGGCCCACCAAGACCGGGTGCTCATCCGCCTCAGCCGCCTGCACAACCAGCAGGCGCTGAGCTCCAGCATCGAGGAGGGGCTGCGCATGCAGGCCATGCACAGGTGCGGGGCCAGGAGGGAAGCCGTGGCAGGGCTGCTGGGACAGATCCACGGGACAGACTCCGGGCGCTGACTTGCTGCCCGCCATCTTCTAAACCTAGCGCCCTAAGAGCTAACGGTGGCCCGATTGTCAGGCCTGGAAGTCGTGGATGTAAATTGCAGCTTCTTAGCAATGGGCGCTACTATTCTTAAACGGAGAATAGCTCACCTTCTAACTTTCTATAGGGCAGAATAGTAGAGTGACCTGGAGTGTGAGCTCTGGGACTCACATTGCTGGGAATTAACACACCCCCTAGGCCAGCACTGCTCCGTCTTTAATGTGTATCCAGGTCACCTAAGAGTCCCCTTAGAAATGCAAAACTTGATTCAGTCGGCCTGGAGTTGGCCTGAAATTCTGCATTTCTGCAAGCCTATGCTACAGGTTCTTGGAGCACCCTTTGAAAGGAAGGGACTATATGATTTCAAACAAGTTATTTAACCTCTCTAAGCCTCAGTTTCCTCAGCCAGAAAATAGAGATAATGTAATTACCTGCCTCGTAAGACTTGTATTATGGGAGACGATCAATGCAAAATAGTTAGCAGTGTGCTTGGCGGGTAGTTAGTATTTAATAAATACTAGGTGTCATCGTTAAGATTCCCCTGATCTTTTCAATCTCTGAAGTTTAAAGTCTAGATCTTCTTATCCTTGATGCTTTCTAACCTCAACCGCTTGCTTCTACAGGGCCCAGCGTGTGAGGCGGCCGATGCCTGGGTCAGATCAGACCACCACGATGAGTGGAGGGGAAGGAGAGCCGGGGGAGGGAGAGGGCGATGGGGAGGATGTGAGCTCAGACTCTGCTCCTGACTCTGCCCCAGGCCCTGCCCCCAAGCGACCCCGTGGAGGGGGGGCAGGGGGGAGCAGTATAGGGACAGGGGTAGGAGGCACTGGTGGGGTGGGTGGGGGCGCTGGTTCTGAAGACTCTGGTGACCGGGGAGGGACTCTGGGAGGGGGTACCCTGGGCCCCCCAAGCCCTCCTGGGGCCCCTAGTCCCCCCGAGCCAGGTGGAGAAATTGAGCTCGTGTTCCGGCCCCACCCACTGCTCGTGGAGAAGGGAGAATACTGCCAGACGAGGTGAGGGCCCTGTCTTTCCCCAGCCCACTGAGAACCCAAAGATCATACAGCCTTCCCTCGGCGTGGGCTTTGCCCGACCCAGAAAAACCCTCACCCAGGGGCCCTTTTGGAAAGTCCCTACTTCCCTTCTGCATTCGAGGCTTCCTCTGCCCTAAATGTGCCCCCTTTCCCACCCAGGTATGTGAAGACAACGGGGAACGCCACAGTAGACCATCTCTCCAAGTACTTGGCCCTGCGCATAGCCCTCGAGAGGAGGCAGCAGCAAGAGGCGGGGGAGCCAGGAGGACCTGGAGGGGGTGCCTCTGATGCTGGGGGACCTGATGGGGGTGGTGGGGAGGGTGGGGGCGCTGGCGGAGGTGACAGCCCTGAAGAGCCTGCCTTGCCCAGCCTGGAGGGTGTCAGCGAAAAGCAGTACACCATCTACATCGCCACCGGGGGTGGAGCTTTCACGGTGAGAGCCTTTGAGGGCCCTGGT